TATGTTCTTAGGTATAAGAAGAGTCACGCTACTAAAAGAAAAGTATAATTAGTATTAGTACTTTGAAAGTCAATCTAAAATTCCTTTTTTGAGCTCTGAATCTAATTTTCTGTTTTTAGGACATTTTAAAACCTGAAACACAGATTAAGTTTGAATAATCTTCTCTAGTCTAGGATCAGAAGAGTACACGAGTTTGACAGTACTCATTGTGGAAATGAACTAGATTTTACTATTTTGGCTTAGATACCCTCACTTTGTATAAAAATTTCAAAGGAGCTGGATATTTAAAAATACTTAGTTGCTATTATTTTGCCTATGGGAGAAATAGAGATATTGGTAAATCTCATTCTATCCTTGCATTCGTTAGATGGAATTTAGGCTCATCTTCTCTATACAGGCAAAGTCAATGGATAGTTTCATGTATGGAATGAAAACTCTATGGAGATATCAAAATTAGGGTCCATGTACCTTGCTGCAGATTGTCTGGGTTGAAAATTAAATCAACGGGATAAATACACAACTTCTCTTTCTCTCTTGGGAATGCCAGAATGAAAAGTCAAATTATTAATATTTCTTCTCCTGTTTTGTTCTATGTGCAGATGTCAAGAATTGTTTTGAATTTTTAATTCTCATTTTCTGAAAAGCTATCTAAACAGGGCCATTATCTAAGTTCTGTAAGCAGAAGATGCTTTTCTGCCCAATATAAAATTATGTCTGGATTGAGAAGCCAATTACAGTTTGAATTTAGTCCCCACCTGCCCCTCAGCGGGGAGTGTCTGTGTAGAGCACAATACACCCAACTGGATGGACAGTGGGCATAAGGTTACTTTTCTAAAACACCCAGATTCATAATGGCCCCTTTAACACTCAGATTTACGTAGCTCACAGTAAAAATCTTGCTGTTAAAACTACTAGGTCTGGTGAGATAAAATTCTTGTAATATAACATGAACCAATGATCAGGAAATATAGCCACATCTGAAAATATTAAAATCTACAATGAGATGGAGCTCATAATCTCCCAAATGTTGTATTCATCTACAACTGAAACGGAGAGGTGTCCTGGCAGTCCTTAATAGAGGAATTTTTAAATGGAGATTATTTAATTTCAGTATCGTAATGTATTCCAAATCATTTGGCATAATGGCCTAGTTTTAAAATATGACAAAAGCAAAACAAAGCAATGGTATGAAATAACAGAAATAAATTTAGCAATCACATTATATTTCACACTGACATATATTTCACACTTACATATATTTCACACTGACTTTCCAAGTCACTATATCTCAAGTGGCATTAAAGCAAAAGTAGACATTCTTTAATGTTAGCTAAAAGCTAGAATATAACTAACAGCCTTTTTACAGTTTAAAAGGACGTAATCTCTGTCATTAACAAATACCCTTTATATAGTGCCAGATGAATTACTGGTGTAGTCCTCTTATACATGGATGGAGAATTTAAAATTTCATTAAGAAGTTCAGTGTGAGACAATCTGAACTGGGCTAGAGCATAACTAAAGAAAGACAAGAATTACAGAGTGATTTGGGGTTGATGAAATCTAGCAAACATTTTTTAAATGCACTAAAAGAAGATGAACTAATGAGAAATTAAGAAAAGTAAAAAGAGAGAAGTTAGATAATATACTACTAGTCATAGTCCCAAATTCAACCATCAAGTAATCTTTCACTCACATTCAAACGCATAAAGAGAAAAAGCCATCCTTACAGAAGGCTGGGGAAATTCATGAAGCTTATCTAATCACTATTTGCACTAACAAATTCTATATTCTCACAGTTCCCAAATTTTATTCATTAATTTTATCAGCACCCCAGTAGTTTTCTACTTGGCTTGTTAACTATTTTACAACTCTTTCTTAACTTATTTTAGTTTTTCTCACTGAGTTCACTCTGAGTAAGTAAATTATTTTATCAGGAACACAAGAAGTGAGATATGATAATCAATATTAAATGGTACATTATGTGAGTGCACATTCAAGGTAAGTTTAGATACATGCTAGTTAATTTTTAATCAGTAAAAGTTGAGGATGTGGTAGGATATGAGTCTTGCTAATAAATACTATTCATTTAATCTGATCCTTGGTTTCCTCATCTATAAAATATTGGAGTCAAGTTATAAAATCTCTTTGATTCTTTCTAATTCCACATTTTGGTTTTTGTTTTGGGCTGTGACACATCTGAAATAATTTAGACTGCTAAAAGATTCTCTCTCATTAGAAGGCTAAATTCAAGAATGATTATGTTAAATAATAGTTGCTTTTTAAAATTTGGAACTAACAATAATTTTCAAAGACAGTGAAGGAATGTTAAGAAAAAATAAGAAAAATAGCAAAACAAAGCAAGGTTAGGTGAAAAAAGAAAGTCAGATATCTAAATATTTGCATTAAAATGTTTTGGAAAATGCCTATATTTTTTTTTAAAAGTCTAATATTAAAATGTTAATGAAAATTTTACATTCCAATTGACTTTTTTGTTGTTTAAATGAAGGCTCTCAAGATCAAAGGTAATTCTTCACTGAAATAGTGAACAAACTCCATGGAGGTAATACCATATGGAGCTAGAACAAAGTATTGTCAAACATAGAAATGGTATGTTTCACAATAGAAAAAGATGTTAGGAAATTCTTTGAAAACCACAATGGCACTGTTTTAAGATGCTAAGACTAAACACTTATAAGTAGGTTATAATGATGTATTTGTGAATTTATTGAAAGGAATGATTATTGAAGATATCAACTGCCAACTTTTATTTGTTTACTGCTGTTACTTTCTTAATTTTCTGATGGGAAATAAAATTTCTACATTTTAAACAAATGTATTTAACCAAATACATTTTCATATTTATTTTACTTAATCAAAAACTATTCCCTAACAAGAAATTTTAAGTTGTTCACTCGAACTTTGTATAATGGCAAACATGAGCTCCCCATTTGCAAGTGGTCTGCTAAGTAGGTTCCCTGGTATTTTTGCATAGACTCCAAGAAAATCCTGAGTTTACTCTGCCCCAATAAGTCACATGGTGGCAAAATTCCAGGATAGTAAAAGTAGTTTTGTTTTGTTTTGCTTTGTTTAGTAGTTCTACAATAATAGAAGTTTTAAAGTAATAAATTACTGTGGAACTTTTAACCTAATGAATCTACTGCAGATTTTCATTTTTAAATATAAGCTGATTTTGAATTTTTCAGACACTGCAACCAGGTTACTATTTTCATACAATCATGGATATTTAAAATGCAAAGTTAATTGAAAGTATAAAGATGAAAAGCAAGTGCTATGCCTAAAATAGTGCACGACAGTCATATTTCACTTAACTCTCAAGTCAGAACATAAATTAAGAATTCTAGAAGTGACATGCCAAATATTTTAGACATAGAAGAAAGCATACAACAGAATCTGTACCAATTACAAACTTAAACGCATAATTTACAAGGCAACAAGTTCATGCTGAAATATTGACAACAAATAATGTTTCTCTTCTTTTCAGAAAGTGATGCTGTATATAAATCCCATCACCACTTTATACAGTACTGAAAATTCTTAATAGCATTTTCCAAAGTCTTGTATTATACCCAAATGTCAAAATACCTGAAAGGAGCAAAAGACATTGATACTTTGAGTCTAACCTAAGAAGAATACATTTTGCTCATAACAAAATTTAGAAGAAATAAATACCACAAAATGGGACTCCATTAAAAACAAATACGATAAAATTTAACAGCATACTTATATACATCTGTCTTATGCGCTAAACATTATCTTATTTTTATTTTTATGTATTTATTTTTAAAAGCAGGATTTATTGAGAAGACAGAAAAGCTCCTGCAGTGGGAGGAGACCCAAGGGAGTTGTCCCATTATCCTATTTTTATAGGTGAATATTTTCTATATTTAACCCTGTTGAGAGTTAAGGAAAAATTACAATTTTTAATGTTTTCCTTATTATTTTTGTTTCTCTATCCCCCTCCCTTTTTTTACTATATTTTGTAATTGAAATATAAGACTATCCAGTTAGGAGCTATAATTAACCAACACAAAAACAAGAAAAATACCTCAAAATACGCTAACATACAGATTTTTCCAGAGTAAAAGTTGAACCCCTAAAATATGAAATTATATTTAGACACTTTCAAATAAGCTACAAAACATAATGACAAGAAAAATGTAGATGTTAAAACATCCTCTCTTTAAAATTCAATAAGTATATTCACCCAACATAAGTAAATAAAACAGGAAATATTCTTGTTTATTTGAGATCACAATCATAGTAAATAAATAATTTCATTCTTGTATATGCAGAAACAATCTATGAGAAATCAAGGTAAGAAGCACATACGCTCTTTTTAAAATCCTTTCACATAGGCACTTTTTAAAATGGATGATATATTTAGATTGTCTGTAATATCCAAATAGAGATACCTTCTAAATGTGTTGCAAATTGAAAGTGATTTTCAGACCTATTCTAGAAACCCACTGTCATACAGAACTCAAGACATCCCACTTTGTATTCTGTCAATTTACTTTCTTCCCCCACATACTAACACCCCTGTTCCCATTCCCAAATTAGAATTTAAAATCCCTGAAGACAGGCCCTATCTTTTATTCCTTCTTGCACCCAATTTTGTAGCAAGACAGACATAGGGTGCTCCATGATTATCTAATAAATGGGAGAATGCGTTAATGAGAAGGGAAGTATATGCAAACTCCATAGCTGTCAGATTTTTGCCTTTCTTATTTCAATTCAGTCAAGTGAAGATGAATTCAGTAACATTTTTCGACAGTGAAATGATATATAATCACTAAATTGTACTCTATGTGAAAATATATAAGTATATCCTTCAGAGAGGACTGTGACCCAAGTTCTGCTTTGTAGAATACTTAAATGTGGGATAGTAATGTTTCTCCTGTTCTCAGTAAAAGGGTTCCACTATGGTCAGATAATTTGAGAAATCCAGTTTTTAAAAAAATTCAAAAACGATATCTTTACTGTTATCATGTACTTCATCTCTCAAAGTACATTATATGCTAATAAGCAGTATCACTTTCTAGGTAGCTGTGGAAGAACACTTTTGGTCTTGAATCATCTCAGCAGAAGAATGTTCTAAGGAACAGAGTCTAGGGAAAGATGCTTTAGAATAAAAGACACCATGTTAAATCTCCTCTCCTTCATCAAAGCAGTATTATAGATTTAAAGGACATAGCTAATGTCCCATTAAATATTAATCACCTTGTCTCCATGGAATTCAGAATAAAGGCAAAACTGTCATGAGCATTCTTCTGCACCTACCCACTCATTATGAGAGGATAGAGAACTATCTATTTAATATTGCTGACACCCTCTGTGGGGTATGGTTGTTATACTTTATTGAAGGGTTTTAATTTTTCTAAAGTATTTCCTCACGTCTTCTTCCTTTTCTGTTCTTTTCTTTCTAAATGTGTATGTACAAAAGGAATAGGGACCTCTGAATTGTATCTTAAAGACATCTTCAGACAATAGATATTTCAGTCTGATTGATCTTTGAAAGTGTTCAGAAAACATTCATACTATTAACAAACAGGGTAACTATAATTTATATGAGGAAAATGTCAATAGATGTGGTTCTGAGATTTCATGCAGGTCGATTATGATTCTGTAAAATAACTCAATATATCTTCTGCATACCAAACAACAAATGTAATGCATGATGCTTTTGCATAGGGAGAAAGGTACTATGAGAATTCAAGGGAAAGTAGGAAGCCAACTACTCTACAGTGTTGATTATCACAAGATTTATACCTAGTATCAGTTCTGCCATTAGCTGTGTGACTTTGAGTCATTTCTCAGTATCTCAAGATATCAAGTTCTCTTTTGTAAATGATATGTAACAAGTTTAGTGGTTCGAGCTATTTTCTCCAGGGACAGCTGTAGTAGTGGAACAGTAGAAGGGGAGACCAAACAAGTGGGACTCTGACCTCTCTTATGTCTTCCACCAAGCAGCTCCACTTTTACATGTTTTATATTTTAAATTTTAGAGCAATTTTTATTCTTAAAAGGTCCTGCTAATTTAAAAAAGGAAAACCATAGTTTGTATGATCTAAATTTCTGTTTAGATATAACATACCCTGATTCATATTTTAATGACCGTGTTTAGATCTGAGAAAAAGATGTATTTTTACATTTTTTTCTATTCATTCATATGCTCTTGGTTCAAGCAAAATAAAACCATAATGACATTATTATTTTTATATAGCTTATCTTAAACTTTTGTAATATCTTTCTCATTAAATAAAAGGATGAGTTGATGTGTTGCTTCCAAAATAAAATTAAACTTAACATGGAGGTTGGATTTGAAGTCAACTCCTGCCCATACCCATACTTAACTTTAGAGTTATCTTTTCATGCTGTCTTACGGACACTTAAGCACTGTACTGCATTATCTTTGAGGTAGAACCAAAACAACAACAACAAAAAGCAAAAAGCATTCACATAAAGAGGGAAAATGGAAACGAAAACTGTGAGAGATTTGTTTTCAACACAATTATCATCATTAGGCTTTGCAGTCTTCTTTGACACAAAGTTGAGAAATAGTCTTCTTAATACGAAGGGCAGTTAAGCGGGCTGCACCATTGGCATACCAACACTCACGCATTATTCTCCCCATAACTCGGAGTGCCTTTAAGTGGGAGAGAAAAAAAATATGACTTTAGCTATCCACACAAAAAAGAGTACAAAAGAAGCAAAGTTACAAACCCAGGAATTGATACTAAGTTGCTATTATTTTTTTTTTAAGAGATGGGGACTTGTTATGTTGCCCAGGCCGGAATGCAGTAGCTGCTCACAGGTGCAATCACACCACACTACAGCCTCAAACTCCCACACTTAAGTGATACTCCTACCTCAACCTCCTGAGCAACTCAGACTACAGGCATGCACCACTGCACCTTGCATTGAGGCTAAGCTATTGCCCCAGGGACGGGGCATATGTAAGTTATATCACCAGAAAAATAATGATCCAAATATCAAAAATTCTGAATTAAAAAATCAACATAAAAGAACTGGCAAAGAAATAAGCTAAATACTCAGAAGAGAAAATGAGAATACATGAAACCAGAGAACTATAGGAAATCACTGAAGCACATGACTGCTGTGGCGACATCTGTTCATCTCATGGTCTAGAATTTCAGGATTGATGGATCACATGTAAAAGACAGGAAACGCAGCCAAAGTACACAGAAAGTGTCAGATCAAGATGCTCCTAAAGTCTTGAGTTTGAAGTTTACTCTGTCCTAGAAAGAAAACTTCTAAGGGAAATTGCCCAAGTCTTGCCTCTTGGTGAAGAAAAAAATCAAGCCCATGCCTTCAGACATTGTAGTAAACCTGAGCTCATAATAAAATCTGCAAACACAGGAGGAAACAAGGTACTATAAAAAAAAGTCAATTGACAAAATAAACAGTAGAATCAAACCCACAAAAAACATTAGATACTAGATTCAAATGAAATAAAATAAGCATATAAAGTGTTTTTAAAAGGAGAGCAACATTCAAAATATGAGTAAAAAACAAGAGTATTTTTTTTTTTTGAGTTGGAGTCTCACTCGGTCGCCCAGACTGGAGTGCAGTGG